ATAAATAATAATAGAAGAGTATCATTATTAATAAGTAAAGTCAAAAGTTTTAAGTTAGAAAGCAACATAGTAGCAGAAGTAAGTAGCAACTAGCAACAGACATAATAGTAATGCATTTATATAAAATGTTTAATTATAAAACAAGAGTTTGATTTTTAATTAGAGTTATTGTTAGTATAGCAAATAGAAATAAATTGTAATAAGAATAGCAGTGAATTTGTATTTTATACTAATAGGTCTTTAATTAAAGATAGATTAGGTTATAAGATAGGAGTAGGTTAGATATTAGTTGATAGTAGCAAAATAATAATAATAATAGAGAAAGATTAAATTTAGTAAGTAACCATCTTCAATGAGAGCTAAGCTGGTAGCAGTGTGGATAGTATTATTAATGATTAAATATAATAGTAAAGTAGTAATTAAGTTAGATAGTACAGCAGCAATCACAAGTTTGACAGATATAACAGTACTAACTAATATGAGAATATAGAGTAAGTGACAAAACACTAATTTGGTAATCAAGATTTAAAACTTTTGCAAGTCAAAAAGTATTGTACTCGACCTTGTAAAAGTCAAAGCACATAGTAAAGTTAAATGAAATAAGAGGGTTAATTAGTTAGCAAAGAAGAAAATATAACTAAAGCAAATCTTAGTATTGCTTTTCAAAAATAATCACTATAGGCTATATATAGTTTTCATAAACAAACCCCTAGTAGAAATAACAACAAAAAAAGTAGCTAGAACATTATTAGGTCTTAAAACCAGAGTTGAGTAGTGCAGCTCACATACTATATGAATATATAAAAGCAAACAGATACTAGGTAAAACTAGAAAGTATTGTAGCACCAAAATAAAAAAGTAACAGAAAACAAATACAAGTTATATAAGTAGGAATATAGTATTTAAAATAAAGTGTATAAATAACAATTTACTAGTTCTTACAGACTTAAAAAAACAAAAGCCTAAGATATACCAAGAAAATATGTATATTAGCTATAGTTGTGCAAAAAAGATATCTGCTCATCTGATTGAATATACTAGCTATACTAACTATTAGGATATTATTAAAGAGGTAGCAGTTTCAATAGTGTGAAGCAAAATAGGGAATGTATATAAAAAAAAAGCTCTCAATAAAGTCTTCAATACAATTCTGATTAGTAGTATAGCTGAAAAGAAAACAAAGTGAAGAAAAACTATATTCAAGGGTTTGTACTAAAAAAAGTAGTTAATAAGCTTTTAAATTTGCAGTTATCAAGAAGTATTATAAACAAGGTATTAAAGAAGTACAAGACAATTATCAAAAGTAGCTTTTTTGATAAAATCTAGTAAAAAAGATATAAAGTGATAGTTGATTAGAAAGAAATAATAGGAATAGATACTGCGGTAAAAAGAAGTAGTTGTGAGAAAAGTGCTATATCTGATAGTAATAGTAGTACTAGATCTAGAACAAAGAAAAACAAAAGTAAAGCTCCTCAGAATAGTGAGATTAGTGTAGCAAATAGTGAGAAAAAAGCAGTTGTTTGAGAAAGATATAGTAGAATAGATAGAAAAAGAGTTGATCTATTTTGGTTTAGCTCTTGATAAAGCTGACAAAGTCTTTCAGCCCACATGTAAGTTGGTACAACAGGTTACATTTAGGTATATAGCTTGTAACTAGATAATACCAAGTTTGCAATTTTAAATTAGTTATTAATAAAAATTTTTTTAAACCTTGTTTTTAGTCTAATAGTTAAATAATTTGTATTTGAGCTCTGACAAAACTGTCAAAAATTAATATATATATATATATATATTAATAAAATAAAATATATTTGTAGTTAAATAAATTGATTTAAAGTTTAAGTAGTTTTAAAGATAATATAAGGTGTTATATATCAAAACAGTCCTTTTTTACTTCTATCTTATTTGAGATAATTGAGTTTAATCATTTGTTTTGATTTTTAAACTGATCCAGAATTAATCAAATTTCACAATTTTGATTGGTTAAAAGTAATAGGTAATCTTGTGATATGTTGGCTCTATGCAATCTCATATAATTTTTCATTTATATTATCTTAATTTTTATTATGCAAATTAACTTTTATTTATAATTGAAAAATATCAATTATGTCAAAATTTATATGAATCTAATAAAAACTTATTTTTTTAAAAAGGGCTGTTTTAATATACAATACTCCATATTATCAAATTAATTAGTAAAGTAAAGAAGAAAAAAATAATAAATATTATAAGTAAATAAAAAATTAAATATTTAATAATTATAGTTGGTAATACTACTACAGTATACTAGGTTTATTTACTATCAATAAAATTAAACACATAGCTTTGCAATACTATACAGTATGCTTAAACTACTATATTATAATGAAATTAATTAATGAAAATTATTTTTGCAGGTTTTTTAAAAATTTAAGATATAAAAATTAGCTAATAGAAGTATTAAATTTAGTTTTATATATTTAATTAATAAAAAATTTTGTAAGAAAATTGTATATTATACTAAATATATTGATACTTATTTAAGTATTGTTTAAGGTTTTTACTATAGTTTCTTGATTGAAATAAGTAGATGAATTTGAAGTCATTTGAAAAGAAGTTATAAACAGAGTTTACTACAAGAAGAAGAAGTAAGTTTGTCTCAAAAAGGTGAAGTAAATTTGGTACAAAAAGGTAGTAGAAGTTGCAAATAATATTGCAGTAAAAAAAATAAAGAATATTTATCTATATGAGCTTGTTGGAGTTGGTTTTACTAGAGAAGAGAAGTATATAGTTGCAGTATATAATAGATTGAGATTTGTAAAAATAATAGTAAAAATAGTTAAAGTTAAAATACTAATATAATTTACAAGATATAAAAACAAGTTTATAAGTCAAAGATTAAAAGATTTAAAAAGCTGTATACAAGAAAGAGGAGGACAAGTTGTTGGATCTATTTAATTTAATCGAATATTGAATTATTTGCTTAAAAAAAGATCAAAACTTTTTTATAAAGAATGCAACTAAAAGTTTTGTATAGAAGAAAAGATATTAATAATAATAATGAAACTATTAAAGGGAGTAGTAGAGTTGTAATTTGTTTTGTTTAGTTTAGTGTTGTTTTTGTTAAAGATAAAATAAAGCAGAAATCATTTTTATTTTTATTGGAAAATAAAATGAAATTGAAGTTGTTATTAAAAAAGAAAATTATATTGTGATTTTATATACAGTATTAAGAAAAAAGAAACTATAAAATATTTAAAGCTAAGCAAACTAATTCTTCTAGACTATCTTAATTAAAATCTAAGATAACAAAAAAGAATCTATAAAAAAATAAAAATAAAAAAATAAATATTTGAGTAAACTCTACAAGAGTAGTAAAAATAGTAATAGGGATTTAATAGTTAATCCTAATTCCAAGAGTTAACTAACATTATAATATAAGTTATTGAAGTCTAGATAAATATATATGTGGGACATATACTATCAGGTCTCTGTCAAGAATAAACTAACTCTAAGGATAATGTAAAAAAATATCCAAGAACTTTTTAACTGTGCTCACATAACAAAAATGTTCTAGTAATACAAAGAAACTTGGTAAGTAAGAATAGAGATCAGAGGGTTTAAATAGAGCCTTCGGATAGACTACTTAGACAACCAAAAGTTATACATGTGGCTAGTTGCACCTGGGATACCCATAGAGATTCCGCGATCCATAAACTGAATAAAGTATCCTTGCTCCAAGACGACATCTTAACACAAAAAAAAAAAGAAGAAAAGAGACGAAATTAACAAAAAAAAAAAAATTCCTCACAAATATTAATTATCTCGTGAACTATCAATCAGAATCGGATGAATTTAGTACCATTCTATTAATCTCAATGTGCTAAAATCATGCGATTGTATCAATAATTCGCGAGATATTTAATATTTGTGAATTTTTTGTTAATTTCGCTCCCTTTCTCAGCACCAAGCCCATACATTTGATTAATTTTAATTTAAAATTTTAATAAAATTTAATAAAATTTAGGTATAATAATTACAAATACTAATTTCGCCAATTTTTAGCTTCATATTTTTTATTAAGAAAGGTAATCCAGGCTGGTTTACATTTATTAGCCAAAGAAACTTCCAGACCGTCCTTGCAGTGCCATAACATCCCTAATCAAAATATAACTTTATATTATTTGACCTAGATATCTCGAGTGTCTTCGTTAACGTTTATCAATTTTGTAAATCGAAAGCAAAAAAAAATAGTCAGTTTCTATTGAGTCGTCCATCTAAAGCTACTTGTTGCTAACCAATAAAAGAAAAATGTGAAAAATACATAGAAACTCGTGCTTTAAACCTGTCATGGTGCTAATGCTATAATGAAAACCAGTAACCGATATTAAATACTACAAGGCTCCTAAATTGGAAAAATCTGGCAATGGGTAACGTAATTTAATGCATTCAGATTTAGAATATGTATAAAAATCTATAAAAAGTCAAAAACCTGTCATGTCATAATTTTCACACCACGATATTTTTGGAAGATTTAGGATTACAATTTTACTGATTTAAAAAGATGTCCTTTTGGATCTTCCTGATAACTTTAGTTATCCTGTTTTTCATCTATAAATCTCGGAGTTACAAAGTTCCGGATGGTCTCAAAAATGTATATACTTTAACACTCTTTGAAAGATTTATATCAATTATTAAAAAGAGAGGTCCGGATCAATACTATCATTTTATTAAAGAATATTTGGAAAGAGATGGATTTATAAAAGTAAATTTTATTTAATTTATATTGATATTGTATAGATATTGTATCAATAATATTTTATTTATTTATTGGAATTTATTAAAAAAAAAAAAAAAGCAATGGTATGGTGGAAGATGGTTTTGTTTGGTAGTTGATAATGAAATCGCGAAAGACTTATTATCAAATCCGGGTGAGTAACAAGTTAAATTAAAAATTATATTTTATTCAGGTCCAAATTATTAAAATATTTTAATTGTCTACAGATATTTTTCCAAAATTAATGCTCGATGAACATTTTCCAAACTCTTTGATTGCTCGGTATTATGGTGTTAATGTTGTTCATTCAAATGGAGACGTGAGTATGAAAAGATTATTTTTATTCATTTGTTATTTTCTTATAACATATCTTGTTATGGAACCTTTAGATTTGGAAACGACACAGGTATTCATGTTAACTTTGATGCTGTATTTATTGACTTAGCTTTCGAATTTATTAACTTGACCCGTATGATTTAGGCATATATGTAATCCAGCATTCAAATCTTTGCCAATGCACTTTATTGTTGATACCGGAACCAAGTTGATGAATATTTTAGAAAAAATAGACAATAAGCCAATTGATGTTAGGGATCTTATGCACAGGTGGTAAAAAAAATAATCGAAGAATATTATTTGTGTTGAAATATTTATTGAACTTAAAAAATAAAATTTACAAACAATATAGATTCGCTTTGGATGTTCTTGGCAAAGCCGCTTTTGAAATTGATTTTAACGTAAGTATAATAGATTTTTGGTAATGCATATTTTAAGTATTTCATAAATTTAAAAATTAAATTAACAAATTAGAATCTTGGAGACCCGAGCAACATTTATGTAACAGCATACAATAAAGTTCAAGAAGACATTAGAAATCCATATTTTATTTATTTTCCGATACTTAATTATATTCCATTCCTAAACAAGCAACGTTTTAAAAGAGTAGAAAAATTGGATAATTTATTTGATAACATTGTTGAAAAGAAACGCGAGGCCTTGGCTAATGGAAATACTGAAAATAATCGGGGGGATCTTTTAGATTTAATGCTGAAAGCTTGTGAAGATTCTGAGAATCAGAGATTAACAAATATTGAATTAAGGGTATGTTTCAAAGATTTAATGGTAAAGATAATGTGTATATATCTTTGAAGTAAAATATTATAAATCTTTGTAGCATAATTTGGGAGTTTTTATGCTTGCGGGTCATGACACAAGTGAGTACTGCATTATGTAATATATATAGTATTGCTATTTGTATTTTAATGGGCTTTGTAACATATATTTTTATTAACATATTGCGAATTTAGCTGCGAGTTCTTTAGCAACGGTTTTATATCTTTTATCAGCTTATAAAGTAGGTATTATTATTTGTAACTTTACATTTAGCAAATAATTTATGCCGTTTTTTTTATGCAGGATGTTCAACGAAAAGCTCGAGAAGAGATCTTAAGGGTACTTGGTGATGATTTAACACCGTCTACAGATCAACACAAATCGTTGAAATATTTGAACATGATTCTTTTCGAAAATCTTAGATTATATCCACCAGTTAATATATTTTTTTTATATTTCGTATGATTATGAAAGTTTTTAATAAGTGCGTGTTTTTACAATAAATTTATTTAAATAGATTGCAATCTTACCAGCACGTGTAACAACAAAAGATATAGAATGCCGTGGCAATGTAATTCCCGCTGGCGAATGTATTCAATTATTTATATATGGAATCCATCATTCGTCAAAGATTTGGAAAAATCCGGAGGAGTTTATACCTGAGAGATTTAAAAATGGACTGCATGAATATGAAGAGCTTGGCTCCTGGTTCGGTTTTGGTGGTGGATCCAGAAAGTAAATTACTACATTTTTATAAGCGCATTATTTATGAATACAACTTATGTATGTATATATTTAAATGGATAGGTGTTTGGGATATAACTTTTCCATGATTGAGCAAAGGATTGTGCTATGCTTATTATGTAAGTTTGATTTTATTTATTGTGTTTATATGAAACTTATTTAACTTCTATCATATTTTCATATTTTCAGTACGTAAATACGAAATTTCATTACCGCCAAACAGCATACATAAGGATGGGTTAAAAATTGACGTGGCATATTCTGGAACTATGTCGCCACTTCCAGTTGAACTTATATTCAAAAGAAGAAGCGAATAATTATTCCATTTAATCTTTGGCAATTTAAAATAGTTTATTAACGTAGTAAGCAACATATCATGTTTTATTGGTAGTATATGGGCTGCCATCAATAGAAATAAGAAGTCTACCTTGTTTCTATTGACGGCAGCTCATATAATGAATAATACCGTATCATATTACAGAATATCGACATAATAACTAAGGTTTCTAAGGAGCAGTCAAGTATCAGACTTTATTCTGTTAAAAGTTATGCATGTTAGTTTTAAAAATATTTTGAATTATTCAAATTATATCAAAACAACTATGTAAGGTCAAATTTGAAATAAAAACCTTAGTTAAAGAATTGTAATTTGAAGAGATGATAAAGCACAGTCTATATTAAGCTGAAACTATTTGTTTCTACTTATTAATTTATTGCTTTATTCACCTTCTCAGTGTTATCTGGCAGATGATGAAGTGATCCATATTTTTAACAACTCATTTAGCTGTTCTACTTTATGGTAAACCTGTGAATGGTCATTATAGAGACATTATATAAATGCTAATGCTACAATCAGTCGCAGGCCTTGTGCAAAATTGTCTCAAGAAATTGGTCTACTGTCACAAGTCCGAATCCTTTAATGCCGAGTCAGACTGTGTTCTATTAGCTCATAAGCGCTTGAACTTTAAAATTTTGATAAGATTTCAGAGATACCAGCGGAATATCAGACGTTTATAAAGCCGATATTTGGCGCGTATTGCAACCTATCAAATAGATATTGCATCCGATAGGTTAATAGACAGCTGATACTTATACATAAAATATCTGATATTTGATATTTTGTTAATAGAAGTATTATCTATTTGATAGGTAGCAATACGCGCCAAATACCGGGCAGCTATCAGCTTTATAAGCGTCTGATATTCTACGCCATTCCCGTTAGTAAACTATTTCAATTAGAAAATTTTAATGAAATTTCTAGCATATAATCTAAAATGAATTATCACGTGACTTGCACGGACTCGCGCGACAGAGACTTACACACGATATGTGAAATGTATGCTAGGTTTATCTCTCGAGAGTAAGTATAGAGTTGGCTCATAAAACGATCTATGCATTTTATCATCAAAAGAATTTACTAATAAATATTACTTCTCATATACGTGTTAAATTGGGTGGTGAATATAGAGTTCACTCATACATGTTAAACCATCATAACCTTCTAGAATGTAAGTATAGAGTTCATACGATCTATACATTTTATCGTCAATAGAATTTACCAATAAATATTTCTTCACTGTTTATTCACGTACGTGTTAAGCTATCTTAAACTACCAGTGCGGCAATCTAGTAGCATACGAATGATTGAATATCAAAATGGACGTAAAGAATCATCTCAAAACTTTACCTGATTCTCAAGATTCTGGTTTTTTAAAAGAAGTAGGTTCAAATTATTATTTCACCATAAATTTAAATATTTAACATATAAAATAATATACCTATCTGATATTAACATAAATAAAATAATTTTATTGAGATTGCTAATTAAGGTCAGGTATTCTAAGTACGTAAAATGTTCAGCACCCCCTGAAACCCTAATTTTTACTAAAATTTGAATAATATACCTAACCCCTTTTTTTGTCAAACTCCTAACTCCAAAAGCATAAAGGTGGTGATTTTACCTCTGATTAAATCCAATTATTTTAATTTAATTATTTATTAAGATTAAAATCATATACAGTGTAGATAAAAGGTAGTGGACTAAAGAATATAGATTAACTAAAGATATTGATGGTATTTCAATTTGCCGACACTAGAGGTCTTCATATGGTTTTGAAAAATAATTTTAAAGAGTTTACATGGGAACATAAGCTATTGCAGCTTATATACATATCTCATGACTTGGCAAAAATTCACAAGCAGAATATACTCAATGATTTTCATAGAGGAAATATTTTGCAAAGTCATATTAGCATATTCAAACTGATACAAAGTTTTATAATGCAGAGAACATGTCCCAAATGGAAAAACTTTTGGGGTTATGTCCTATGTTATCTTGAAATTTTATTGGCCAAAAATTATACACCAGCGGCTGATATTTATGGGTTAGGCATTATTGTAGCAGAAATGTCTACCTGAGAAAGACATTTCGATGATATCCACTTGATATTAATCATGCAAGTAAGGAATACAGCCAGCATTTGCGCCTGGAACTCCTGATTGTTATGTTGAATTAACTATTGCTTTAAAGCTTTACCATCAATTGAAGCATATTAAAGGTTCTAATACCAATGATAAACTTTGCATAAAAGTAAAATTCTCGTAATATTTTGTATTTTTTTATTTTATTTTTTTTTTTAGTGTCCGGAAATATAGAACTTTCATTTTAAACATATATTTAATCAACTGCAATAGCTAATTCACTTTTTCATAACATAGTTTCTCGTGATTGGCTATTTTGGGCTAATAAAATATAATAAAGGTCTATTGAAGGATTTGTTGATTTATGATCATAGGTGATTGATGACGAGACTGAATGGAAATTTAAAACCAATTTACTTAAAACTTCTTTAAATAAAGTAAATTCTTTCTTACGAATTAAATATTTGATATGCTACAGATGCAAGATATCGGATGCATATTAGGAGTTTAGTATCCAAGCAATCCAACATTGTTCGAATCCATCTTCGTACTTTACACAGCACTCTATTAATTCTTCCCAAATCCCAAATGTAGACTTAACTTCCAGATTTTTCCTTTCATCTGATATCTAACAACATTTATAGATACTCGGACTCGATTTTGCCTTTGATGTTAATATTGTATCGTACATTTCGATATCCCATTAATTAAAGTTTGATCCATCATTTCCACATGCTCCGTAATTATCTGCTAAAGTAAATTGATGAAATAATGTAATTATGGAAGCTTGAGTACGTTTTACTTTGTAATTTCATTGATTAAAGATCTTTGGTGCTAGAGAACTGCGAAGTGACGAAATGTTCTCGCTATACGATTCTTGTTGTCCAGTTAAATCGAGTTTTTTTTACCAAATTTTCCCTACTACTAGGCTGAGGTAAACAGGATTCTAGTTAATGGTTGAAAAATTGAACATTACCAGTATCATGTCCTGTTAGTTTAACCCTATTAAAGAACCCAGAGCAACAACCAATTCGGTATAGAGAGAGACGCATCAAATCTTTTTATTTATATGTTTATTTATTTTTTTAAGCCTTTAACACAAATAATTCAACAAGACCTTAACTAAATTTGATGCAAAATTTTTTTCAAATTTTACGAGTTTATAGAATTATTTTAAAAAAATTTTGATTAAATTTTTGAAGAGCTATTCAAAGGTTTAAAAAAATTTTTTTGGAAAAAATTTGGTACGCGAAATTAGGTAACTTTCGTCAGATTTTGCTGATTGATCAGTCACTCGGATGACCTGACTAGTAATTGCGGCTTCCTAATTAATTTTCACAATATATTTTTTTCATCATGATTTCAATATATCCATTTCAAATAAATTTATAAGTCGCAAGAGCAATTGCTTTTATGAGCTGAAGTTTTGAACATTTATATCGAGAATATAACGAATGTTAACAATAGGTGATTGCTATTTGTACCTCAAATTTGCTATTCATACCCCATACAAATTAAAGTTTTTTTTGAACTTTGAACGAAGTTATCTCGACATCCACAAAGTCAAATTCGATGAACATTTTTTTTATTTGAATTGTATGAATGCGTATAATTTAAATTTAAAAAAAAGTACATCGAATTTAGCCTGGTGGTTGCCGAGATATCTTCGCTCAAAGTCTTAAAAAACTCAAAACGTCTACCAAAACAAGCTGCGCCAAAATTTTTGAGCGAAGATATCTCTGCAACCACCAAGCCAAATTATATCTCTACAACCACCAAGCCAAATTCGATGAACTTTTTTTTTATTTAATTCTACGATTCTGTAGGATCAAATATAAAAAAGTTCATCGAATTTTGCCTGGTGGTTGTCAAGATATCTACGTTCAAAGTTTTAAAAAACTCAACGCCTATAAAACTTACAAAAAAGTTCATCGAATTTGGCTTGGTGGTTGCCGAGATATCTTCGCTCAAAGAATAATTGGCACAGCTTGTTTTGGTAGACGTTTTGAGTTTTTTAAGACTTTGAGAGAAGATATCTCGGTAACACCAGGCCTAATTCGATATTTTTTTTATTTGAATTCTACGGATTCATAGAATTCAAATAAAAAAAATTCATCGAATTTAGCTTGGTGGTTACCAATATATCTTTGCACAAAGAATAAAAAAACTTTTGCCGCAGCTTGTTTTTGTAGGCGTTTTGGCAACCACCAGGCCAAATTTGACGTACTTTTTTTTATTTGAATTCATGTATTCATATAATTCAAATAAAAAAGTTCATCGAATTTGATTTGGTGGATGTCGAGATATCTTCGTTCAAAGTTTAAAAAACTTTAATTATGGATAGTAAATTTGGGGTACAAATAACAATCCCTTTTTTATTATATAAATTTTTGAAAATAAAATTAAAAGCTGGGTTGCTGGGACATTTTAAAAAATTAACTTTACATGGCCTAATAGACTTCGAGTATCGAAGGATAAATCACGTGACCAAGTTATTGATCTTTGACGGAAATTATCTGTTATGTACGTAGTAACTGTAATCGACTTCGCATTTTTTTTTTTTTAATTTTGACTTTGTCGATTCTTAGCTATGTATAGGAAGAATCGGGAGCAGTGTTTAACAAAAAAAATAAAAATAAAAAACATACCGAACTATTTATTACGTATTATATCATAGGCAATCATTTTGCATAGCCGGCAAAGCCAATTTTTAAATTTAGCTTAGCCGAGTCTGTATATTTAGGTTGACTGTAAACACTGGCGCTAGTTAATATTAGAATATAAATTCGGAATTTTGTAAGGATGAACTATAAATTTCTTTTTAATGATACTTCGCGTTTTGAATACATGTATCTGCAAAAAACTCTGCCTTTATTATCGCCAAAAACTCATTTTGAAACTTTATTTTGATATTCATCTGAGGGTTATTAACCCTCTTTGAGGAATTTTAATTATCCTTTGATAGGCTTAGGAATTTAAGTAAATTATGGATGCCCCCTTGTCGGGATCGACCACCAATTCATACGTACTAACCCAACTTGTTCCCAAATAAAAAATTAATATAGAAAACTAAGCAATAAAAAATTTTAGCACACCAATCATCACTTTAGTCATATATTAGATTCAAAATACCATGTGCTAAATATACCTTTGCCATTATTTAATACTATACGAGTGCCGCCAAACGATAACATGGAAATCTTAATAAGATGCTCATGTTTGACATTCATATGATGAAGTCTGTGATACGTATAAGATGGCATCAAATTAAGCTATTTTACTTTCTCTAACCGAAATAGTTTACTATTATGAAATTGATAACTCGTACGTACGTACGTTTGTTATTCAGAAAGTATAACAAAACAATAGGGAACTATATCTGATTGACTTACAAAAGGATACATATTCCTTATTGTAGAATGAATCTTGCCGAATAGAAAATTTAGTTGAGACTTGAACAGGTTTAATTTAGATGATTATTATTTGTATTTATTCAGCTTTAACTGTTAAGTCATAAATATACAAAATAATTTGTAAAAAAAAAAGACCCGAAAATTTTTAATAAACGATCAACGTTTATCATATAATCATCGTAACCCGCCAAATCAAATTCAAACTAAACTGTATTACCTCTATTTGAATCTGGATCAAATTTATATATTGGAAATTCCAAAAATAAAGTGCTTTTTACAAATTGTGGTAACGGTTCATACAATGATGGTGGAAAAGGAATTAAACAACTTGTTCGCGATAAATGTCGAGAGTACTCAGTCCAATTTCCAGCTCTGTATTGTTTTATATGAGTTGGTCGTTCGCCCATAGGCATTCCACTTAAGAACAATAAGATTACTAGTAGAAAGAAGTAGAGAATGCGTAAACATCAAAATACAATCAAATAAAATAATGAAGAAAAAAATTGAATGAATATTTACAAACAGTGAATATTGGAGAAAGTATAGAAACTATCGCGGTTTTGTCTCTAAGATTGCCATGTAAACATAATAAAAACATTCCGATCCTAAATAATAATCATAATAATAACTCATTAATAACGTATAAATTGATTGATAATAAAAATTCGAGAAAAACAAGCTTACCAAAGCTGAAAGAAATGAAAGAAATTAAGGATCGTAAGTTTGGTTAAATAGGTAAATAAAGTAAACAAATCAAATAAAGGATCAAAAATATAATAATTTACCGTAATTTCTCCAAAATAATTTGGATGCCTACTCCATGCCCAAAGACCAGTTTTCATAAATTCATTTGGAGAAAGTCGCCTAATGCGAAATATAAGCTGTACATTGATTTGAAATTTAATAATACAGTAATATAATTATTTATAATAATAACAACGATAAACAATTAGTATTATTTTAATAATAACGTTAAATACAGCAAGGAGAATAATCTATATAAAACCTTTTGAACATCAGCCACAGACTCCATAAAGAATCCGAAAATAAACAAAATAATGCCCAAAACATCAGTGGCACTTCCAAATTTTTGATCCAAGCCTTCAGATGAATCATTAATTTTTGGGGAATTTAAGAATGTAAGTGGTAAACTAATAGTCCATATCCAAATAATTTGCAAAATAAAAAATCCAAGAAGTTTTGAAAAATGTTGTCGAATTTCATTGAAGCGAGAGTCACCATGACCAGTCTTTGTCATACGATATAGACAAAAGACTTTTAAAAAATTTGTAATAACAAACAGAAATTAATAAATCTATTTGATAATTGTGTAATGAATTGGTATTAAAAACCTACATCCTAATCGAAGACCCCATATAATTTGAAATAATGTAGCAATTATTTGGCGGGTACTATATGACTATTATGCATATACATTAAATTACGTCAATTAGGTGCGAACACATAATATAATAACCTTAAACTTACTTGGCTAAAAATTAAGGTCAAGATAGCAAGCAACGCAGCATTCGATCCACCTAGATTTTTTGTTTATATCAACTACTATAAATAAATTTACAAAGCGAAATCAAAATTTAAAGTTAAATTAAACAAACCTCCTAAATCCGTAACTATCAATTTTAAAAAGATAAATGTCAAAAAAAAAGAGCCAAAAAAGAGCCAAATAAATTTGAAAATTTCTCATTTTCCACATACCAGTTTCAGCTTGTAGGGTAAAAGCAATAAAACAAATGATTAATTGATATAAAATCGTAATTATTGCCGTTATCCCCAAATAATAATCATCTAATATATGAATTGACATTTTGTTATTTATTTATTTTTTTTTTTTATTCCAAAGCAGAATCGAACTAATTTATATGTAATTTTAAAATCTTGTATTCAACCAATAAGAAATCACATTGTATCACTAATACAGGTAACAAATTGTACAAGCATAATTTTAATGTTTCGTGAGTGTTCCATGTTTTGTAACATAATATTATATACGAAATGTTTGATTTTTTTGCTAGCTTAATTTAGTCAGGTACATATGTATGCACATAACTGGATTATTTCAAACAAATTTTAGATAACAATTAAGTAGCATTCGGTTTAACCAAAAAACATGACAATAATATTGATATGTTATTTGTATAAAGACAAGCTCAATGAAATACGACCACAATTTGTATAATTCGTTACGTGTATAAACCGTTTGCAGCGGCCATCATGAAATCAAATAGCTTTTCATAGCATGTTAATTAGCAGCTAAATTGTTTCAGAACAAAGACTTCAATATTAGAAATTACGAAATGGAGTGTGTAAAGATCCAGAACATTATTTATAACTTTTAGCTTGTTAATATTAAATTTTATATTGAAGCATCTTATTTAAACTCTAAACTCTGAGTATATATATGTAAATATAGTATAACATAGGATCTGTTCAATTTTCCGTTGGACGTGTTAACGTTAATAAAATTTTTCTAAAATAGCGATAGTACTACGTATATCTAATAAGCTTTTGTAACCATATAGCACATTTAATAATTTAACCTCCAAAGTAATTTTTTTTTAATAATTATAAACTATTTGCATTATTAAATAAAAGAGTTTCATATTTTAATGGTCCGAGATAGTAAATAGCGAGTGTTATTTTTATTTTACCGGTACGTACGTATGTTTTTTATATAACACAAAATAGTGCTGAAAATCATTTGTCATAAGTCTGCGCCAAATATGCTATCATAATTTTATAACATAGTATATGTCATATATATTGCGTAATCTTATTTTCTAAAGTCATTCTTAAAGATCAATCCAATGAAACAGACATTCAAAAATATCTGTGAATAGGGATGTTAAATGGTTCGTCTGGTCCGGTCCCGGTCCAGGACTAGTTGAAAACTAGTTCACCCTTCATAGGCCGACATTCGTATGATTGGCTGATGTAAATCAATTGCCCGGGTAATGCCGGGTAACTTATTTATACAGTTTAAAGTACTTTTTGAGAATGTAACCTTTTACTAATAAAAAATCACTATAAAGACCATTTCTAGCTTCGCAAGAATGCTTATATTTATTGTACAAAATAATCAAAAAATAATCAACATTCTCAAGAACTTCACTTAGAAGCAAGTATTCTGTTATTTATATCTATATTAGCTATATACATGTATTAAATGCGAAAAAATATTCAAATAAAAAGAATGATCAAGACATTTAAGGTAAATTTAGATTTAAAAAAAACTTTTACAATCTGTTAACTTATTGTATTTAAGTTTAAATTACTTCTTTTAATAAGTCTAATACTTATTTATATTACTTTAGTATTTAGTAGATTTAATATGGCTTTACAATAGTATAGATAGAAATGAGTAGTATTAATTTTAGTGCAATAGTTATAATAACTAAAAAATAAGAATATTTAAGAATTTATATTAATAAATAGTGAAATTTCTTGGAAGTTTTCTTTAATGAGTACAAATGCAAAAAAATTTATTAAGTAGGATATTGCTTAATATATTTTAAAAGTAATAGCATCTCTAACAAAGGCAATAATAATTAGAATATGATTTTTACTCAATTATGTAATTAAATATAATTAATAAAAGATATTTAATAAAAAATAGTATATAAGTTTTGCTAGTATGTAGTATAAAGCTTTGTCTGTATTATAAATTTGTTTGATTAAATTATGTAATCTGATTGGCTAATTATCACGAGAAATCATAAGTAGATCTACAAGGCTTGACCAATCATATAAATGTCATCCTATAAGCATTATACCATGTTTTTTTTTTTTTTTTTTTAATTCGGCAGTCTTGCCTTAACTGTTTATTATTAGTACTCTAAGGTATTACGATTACAAATGTACATATACATTTACAACTATCTAATTTATTACAGATAAGACTCACCCGGTTACTAACTTAGTACCTA